TCCTTTGGACCGCTGTTACAATCGAAAACTTGGAATCAGAAACTTACAAACGCGCCGCGATTTCGATTCCAGTCACGCTTGTCGTTTTCCTCCAACCGAAACATTCCAGTTTTTAATTCCTTCTAACAACACCAATGAAATCGTCGGAAACGAACGAACATCGCTAGAAACACAAAAGAACGGAAAGGGAAGGAAGGAAGGAAGGAAGGAAGGAAGGGAGGGAAGGAAAGGAAAGGAAAGGAAAGGAAAGGAAAGGAAAGGAAAGGAAAGGAAAGGAAAGGAAAGGAAAGGAAAGGAAAGGAAAGGAAAGGAAAGGAAAGGAAAGGAAAGGAAAGGAAAGGAAAGGAAAGAGGAAGAATTACATACATGGATTATCATTCGTCGCTTGGTCGAGTATTCTCGAGCTTATTCTACTTATACACGTAATACTTGTTAGATTGGTTAGGTAGGCTCTCCAAGCCTCTCGGCTGAACAGTCAGCCACAGCCGCGTATATTACTTATGTATACTTCCCACCCTTCGGATCCCATCGTCATCTCGCTATGCGATTACCCTAAGACCCTTTCGAAGCTTATGCGTACTTTAAAATGAATACATAATCGAACGTACATCCACTTGCTGCGCTTCGAAAGAGACGACCGGTTGAATCCTTAAAACGTTCGCGTGAACGTGTGCACATTAGAGAAACACGCAATGAATAATCGTACGCCCTTCTTCCTTCATACCTAGGTGCATATACATATATGTATGTACATACGTAGAACACGTACATATAAAGGAAGGAAAAGAAAGTACGACTTTTATAGAAAATACGACGCACGAAATATGTAGTCGATAATAATAAAGTTTAACCTAGTAATTAGAATTAGTTACGTTAAAAACTGTTCTGTGGCCTGTAAAGTGCGACAACGTGCGAAGATTAGAAAAAGGTGCGCTAACGAGTTATTGGCATACCGACGTTAATGTAGGACGATTAAGTAATTGGAATTGGTTGAGCACGCTCGTAAAAGGGGTGGGCTCGTAAAAGAGGCGCGGGCAGAGAGGTGGGGGTAGGGAGATAATCGTTAACCGATTAACGTTATAGCTCCGAAGTAAATCACACCGCTAAAGTGAACAGGGCCACCAATTGTTATTTTCGACCGAATATTTCTGGCAGTATCGCGTATAAAAGAACGAGATCCAATCCAATCAACTACGTTGTAGCAACCGCTCGTCTTCTTCTTCTTAATATTATAGATAAGAAACCGATAAATAATCGAGACAAACTGAACGATGCGTGTCAAGAGTATGGTCCCGCGGGCCTTTTTCTTCGCCGCTACCTTCTTCTTCGCCACCGGCCCGAAAACAACGCCGAAAACACAACCAAACAAACCATTTCGCGTTTCCGTATAGTCGGCGTAAAGCGCTACTAAAGCGAATAACAATGGATAAATTGGCGAATAGACGTTGTTCTCCGCAAGAACAAGCAACTTTCAATCTCGAAACTGAACTGGTAGAGAGTAGTAGGATCGGTACCGGTACCACCGATTTCCAAGGTAGATCTTTCAAAAAATAATACTGCGTTCGTTTCGCGTTACATCGCTTGCACGCTCGCAACATCGTATACGAGTGACTCGTGAATCAGTGATGTGTTGTATACAAGAATAAGCACTATATGTGCTCAGTCCAACGATTTCGATCTGTCTAATCTATGTTTACTTTCAAAATCAGAGTTTGTACTGGCATTTACGAGACGATGAGAACGACACTGCTCCTCCAGTTTCTTGACGTTCTCCGAGGTCGACGAGGAGTCGCCGCCGGAAACGAAAGACTCTAATATCACATTATTGGATGGATTTGATTGAAAACAACTCGCGCTAACGTTAGCCCTATCCTCGAAATCTTCCCGTTGCGCGTTACGGGACATGTCGGTCGATGCTATCGCCGAATCTGTATTGATAAGTCCGTCGCAGGAGTGAGGCAACATTTTCGAGAAAGACTGTTCGACCGAGCAATATTCCTCGCACCTCTCCTTGCTGGCGTACTTACCGGTTCCTCTCAAAGAACCACCGTACACCCGACGACTCTTCCTCGACAATTCCGAATCGAAATCTTCCAACGAGTTCACGCTATTCTCCTCCGTCTCCGTCTCCGTCTCCGTCTTAACCACCGAAGGGAAACTCGCGGCGGTTCTTTCTTCCGATGTTGTTATACCTTGTCGATGTTGCTTATCACCCTTCTTTTCTCCGCTCTCCATTTCCCTTTCTACTTCGTGCACCTTCGAGATCGGAATGACACCTTCTTCTCTACTGCTACCCGCTGTACAATCAACATTTACCATCGTATACCTCTCTGCGTTCGACACTTGGTAACATTCACTCGGATTCTCCGGGTCCGAAGTGTCCGACGATTTCTCCATCGGATACGGAACATAATTGGTGGAACTAGCTTGCTGTTGATAGATACGGTTGAAGCTATCCCTAGGAACGAACGACCGTTGTTCCTGATAGGCGAAAGGAACACATACGTTCTGCCTGATCGTTCCATCCGTCACGGTGCAGTATTGGGGGAAATGCGCAAACGGAATACCTTCTCGTGTTTCCAGTTGTCGCGAACTCGTCCCGCCACTCGGATATTGCGCGTTTTCCTCCAAACTGTTGTTCAATCTCGTGGAAGAGTTGCACGTATAAGAGAAGCATTGAGCAACGCTCGTGTTCGCCGCGGCGGCGCTCGGCGATTGCACGTTGGTTCGCGCGTTCGTCGATTCCGGTGAAGTTGGGTTCGATATCTTACCGCGTGTTTGAGCTATCACAGTTTCGTAGCTTGGAGGTGGACCGTACAGCTGGTAGTACGGACAGTTCGCGTCGTTCAACACCACGCTCATATTCTGGTAATGCGTCGACGTAGTCGCGTTACCATTGTATCCGGGCAACGCTCCGTTTCTTTGAGGACCTACAAACACGACAAAACAATCCAAATAAACTAGTCGTGCGATCGATATAATATCGCGAGGGATCGAGGAAACCGCGTACTCGCCTTTCCACATACGATGCAACAAAACGGTGTTCCTTGCCGAATTGTAAGTGATACGAGCCCTCTGCCCTTGACACGTCGGCCCCCGGAGGGAACTTTGCGATCGAGAACTGGAAGCTCTAGTCGGAATGGCCGATGCAGCCGCTCTGTATCTTCCTTGTAACCAATACCGATACCACCAGCCGCCACCGGAGCATACCAGGAACATAATTATAACCAGTATCCTATAACGAATCGTACAAATTTTACTTGACAATCAAATTATTTCTCTCGGAATACGTCTCTCGGGATAGTCTGGTTCCTACCAATAATACCATAAATGATGAAAATGCAGTCCTGGTGATACGCAACAACCAACACCGCAACAATATTCCGTTCTAGAACACCTAAAACGAATGAAACACGATGTATACGTGTTCAAAGTAAGCCTTTCTTCTTCTTTTCTTTCTTCTCTTCTCTCTCTCTCTCTCTCTCTCTCCCTCTCTCTCTCTCCCTCCCCCTCCCCCCAACCCCTCTCTCTCACTCTCTTTTTATTATTATTTCACATTTACGTACGATGTGTAAAATGTTTCACCTTTAGGTGAAATCAATCAATCGTCTTACTGTTTGAGAAAAAAAATGAGAAAAAAAGTGTGTCTTTAATAGCAATATGATTCTAAATTGATATTTTATTATTATGTTCCCTTTGACTAAATAAGATAAACGTATTTACATGTATAAAACTCACTCATAGTATTTTATTTCTCCAGGTATTTCAGAGGCACAATATTTTGCTTCTGCCTAAAAGAAGTTATAGTTTTAAATCGTGAACGAACCTATGACGTGTATTAACTCTTTAAACTATAGATTGATCTTGCCACGAAGCGGGTACGATTGTTACAAAGTATCAGAACGAGTTCTCCGCAAGTTTATACTGGCAATGAGATCTCGAATCGCGCAGTTATTCGATCGTGCTTCGAAACTTTCAACGTAAAATAGAACGGAAATGTCTTTCCGTTGCTAATCGAAACGAAAGCTCGAGTTTTTTATAGCGTAAAGAATAACGTTCGGTTTGATATTTTGGAGCAAAGCAAACAACATCGGGGGCAAACATGCTGAAAAAAAAAGAGACATCCACTCACGTATATTAAACACTTTGACGTTCCGGCGAATATCGCCAACTTTTTCTTCGTATTCCGTACCATCTTCTCGAAAAACATTTACACTTTCATTCCTAACGAACAAAAACGATACACTCTACCAGATTGTTTTGACATAATCACCATTTCGCTCCGACGACTGTCATGTGCACACAACATTGCACACCACTTATTGATTTCAATTTCGGAACTTTGTAATGACGTCATCGAAAGCAGAATCACCAACGTGAATGCATGAAATTGTAATATCGTTGTACAACTCTCACTAGGGACTTTTCGTTTACTCTACGAAGAAGAATGTTCAACGTACAGGATAAAATCAGACACGTACTAATATACATAAGTACATATTTCACATGGGCAATGCGTGCGTATATTCTAACAAACGACAAGTCCTTTACAACACTGCCAAATTGCCAACGAATGCCGCTTTTCTCTTTCAATTTATCCTACCAACCCATTGGCTGCTCCCCCGTTGTGCCGGAAACGATTCTGCACGGTAGCGATGCAAATTACATCAGAAATGGCGTTACCTTGGATAGATGATTTTCCTGAATAACGATATTTTATTCAAACAATTCACTACCATTTTAAAACGTACATATGTATTTCCCTTTCAAAACTATAACCTTGTATCTTTTATTATACGTAAAAGAAGAAATGTTGCAATTCGTCAACTGTAAATAGATCGAGAAACGCATATTCTTGTAAATACGAATGCGTATTTAAACGTATGTAAATAATCTTTATTAAAGTACAGTTTTTGTTTTTTCTATTTGTACAATACAATCTTCCATCGTTGCATCCTGATTCGTTGAAGGGCCCGTTCTATTTTCCTGCTGCGTAGACAACAAAGTATAACTAATCTTTAAATACTTCTTTAACAATGGAGAATATACTCGTCGAGAGCTACAATAAAAACAAGCACAACACAATGCCATAACGATGATTGTTCCAAAAATGGCAGCCCTGTTAATACGATTATTTATTAATAATATTATTTCTACATACTGCGTTAGTTTACGAAAGTATTAAACGTACGTTAAATATAAAGAATTGAAGTCAACGTCGTTGCAGCAAACATTATTGCCACAACAACTTTCCCATGAGGTGCACGAGCCCCAAACGCAATAGTGTGACGAACCCTGAAATAAGATCAGAAATATTTTCTTTTTTACACATTGTCTTTGAACGTTGCAGCAGAGATACATAGAAATTGTATATCTTTTCTCAATGAAATATGTAATAATTAATGTAAAAAAATGATATTACCATTGAGAAAAGGTAAAAGTTGAACGATAACTGGAATGATATCCTACATAGTTGACGAATCTGTCAAAATAAGGTCACGAACTATAGAATACTAGATAGGCTACTAGATAGGATACTAAAGTACAGTGAATAGAAATATTGAAAGCTACGTTTTCAACAGTTCAAATTAATCTTCAAGTAACAACTTCGTATTGCAATATGGTTTCATGATTTTTTTATAAATCAACCAAATCCAAATCCATTCACGTAGCTTATGAAATTAAACAAACTCACGGTTAAAAAATTATACGCTCGTTTATTACTCGTTTTTCACTACTGCATTCGGTAGTATTCGTGGTCGTTCGAAATACTCTAGAAATTGTGTACATCCAAATCGTTATATACGAGATCAGTGCTAACGTTTATACGTAATCATTTTATAAAAATGGCCATTAGGTTAGTTTAACTTCTCTCTTCTTTTTTCTTTTTCGATTTTTCCTTCGATAAAAATACAATCACGTGTTTGCAACATTATTATGTAATGTAATTGAACATCAAATAATTGTGTATAGGTTATTCGTTAATTTATATTGCAGGATTTAGAAAAGGTGCTGATCCAGGCATGCCTCAATTATCGATTATGAAGTAAGTTTCGATATAAATTTATACCTGTACAAAGTAACGTTTATTTATAAACTGTTGAATATTATACGAACAATTTTGTTTTTTTCAGCTTATTGTGGCAATAAAAATATCTACTTCCAAGATACTCTATTTTATTCTTCATAGAGATATTCCCATTGCTTCACCAATGTTTCTTTATTTTCCTTAAGTTTAAGGTACTTTTATTAACATAGCTGTTATAATTAAAATTACCAATAAGAATGTTACTTCTATACTGAGTTATGCAAAATAAAAATTTTCGAGTTGTATTTTAAATTGTAGTTTTACTTTTTCTAGTAAAGTATGAAAAAAGGTATATTTTTAGATACATAAGTATATCTTATTGTTTACTTATACTTTGTCTATGGCTTCACATAGCTGCTGCTGCTGCTTTCAATTTCGGAATTTCACCTTATTCTACACTTTTTACACGATAGTAATTACAAAGTTTTTACCAAAACAAAATGATAATGAAAACATAGAAATCTAAACGAACCTTGCGACAAATTCCTTTTTCTTAAAAAATAACGTATACATTGTATGTTATATGCATATATTAAGGACAAAAGTTAACCCTGTCAAATTTTGACTTTAATCATTTATCCTTTTTACGGTATTATATTAACATTAAGTAATAAACATTTTTATTTTCGTTAAATAAGTTTTACTGTTATTACATCTTCGATTTATAACTATCGATAAATTTTCATATTTAGTCGATTTCAAAATTTAATCAAGTATTACAAACGAAAAAATTATGATTAATTTCCTTGTCAAAATTATATACACGTATTTATTCGTAAATATGTGAATGCAGGTAAAATGTTACATAATACGGAAAAAGCAATTGACAATAATTTAAATTTTTGTATATCAATTTTATTATCAATGCATCCACATTTTAAAATCGAAAACGCTATTGTTTCCCGTTATGGGAAAATTCTTTATTCTAACGATTTTCAACATATCATTTTCAAACGTAAGCTAATAGCACGGAAACAAAATTGATAAAAAAAAAAGAAATATTTTGTTAGATTTTGAAATATGAGAGAACATTCTGTTTACGAGGAGAATATATTTTAAAACTGTTAAGGCATTGTTCCGTTGGTAACAGTGGCCCTAACCTGTCAGAAGTAAAGTAGCAGATTGGAACTGTAGTAAGTTTTGGGCACGCAGATACAACATTTTAGGTTCGCGGTTTTACTGTGCTTGTCATCGTGTAGTGCACAGAAGTAACAAGCGGAGGCAGTGTAAATTTTTCGTTAAAGCGTATGTAGAACGAAGTATCGGTGTTTGTTAAAGGTGGCCACCACGTTTTCACGAGAACTCCCTTGTCCAACCCTGCCTGTTATGCGGTGGTGAACGTCGACAGGTGAGTGCGCGCTTTCTGTCTTCACGATACTTCCCTCGTTCTACCTACGGAAAAAAGTATTCTTTTATGAAAACGGGCTGCAATGGTGTTATTTCTGTCAATTGCTTTTTGTGGATCTTCAATAGTGACGGATGGTAGTGTTATAGCACGAAGATTTGTGGTGTTCTGAAGTTTCCTGACGAAAGATTCGAGCTTCTGCTAACGATGTGCATCCTGATGTAACTACATCGGTATGGATCTTCCGATTACCGACTAACCTTTTTTCACATACGATATTTTTCACGAATATCCTCACCTAATTGCATTTGTGATTACTCTCTCCTTTAACATTTTTCTTAAGCGCACAAAGCTTTTACATAGTTTTATTTATAGTTTCACAAAGAATTTCAATAGCTTCAAGTGTGCATCCAAGCAAACGGTTGTGCCATTAATATTTTCAAACTGTTGGTCATTAATTGAAATCGTTAAATATAATGATACGTTTCAAAGTTTGTTCCAGCCGTTCAAATTTATTGTTCCCTTTTTCTTCTTTTTTTTTTTCCTCCATTACCATATAGATTATAAAAAACCCCCTAAATAAATTAATATTGTATATGTCTATATCTAAAAGTAAAATTGTACTGATCATTGTTTGATGTTTCTTTCAATTTCCCAATCCCTGTTTAATTTACTTCAATCTCATTTCAAACTAAATATAGCAGTTACTTTTCTGTCTTTTCTACAGAAATTATAGTAGAAAGTAGTTACAGTGACGCTCACTCGACAAGCGTATAAAAATAGGATGTCAGGGCATAGAGGCGGAGGAGGGGCTGGGACTCATCAAGGAGGCCCATCGGGCCTCAAGCAAATAGATTTAGATCAAATTTGGGGAGATCTCCGTGAGGGTATTGAACAAGTTTATAACAGGCAATGTATGTCTAAACCAAGATATATAGAATTGTACACGTATCCTTTGTAATTTAGAAATGAAAAAACAAAATGATAATAATAAAATAATTGTCTGTGTACTATCAATTTCCTTATTAAATTATGTGATTCGTCAGACATGTATATAATTATTGCACAAGTGTTCATCAACAATTAACTAGAACATCAACCAAGAGTAAAAAGGGACAAATTTCTCAAGGAGGTGCACAGTTAGTTGGTTTGGAGTTATATAAACGATTACGTGACTTTCTTAGAAATTACCTTATTAGCTTATTGAAGGTGACTATTGCTTTGCAAATTATTATTATTATCATTATTGTTGTTGGTTAATGTAGAGCAAGACTAATTAATGCATTAATTTGATATTGTTTATGTAGCATGGAATTGATTTGATGGATGAAGATGTATTACAATTCTATACAAGGCAATGGGAAGAATATCAGTTTAGTAGTAAAGTGTTAAATGGTGTTTGTGCGTATCTAAATCGACATTGGGTACGTAGAGAATGTGAAGAGGGTCGTAAAGGAATTTATGAAATTTATCAGCTAGCTTTGGTTACATGGCGAGATAACTTATTCAAGCATTTAAATAGACAAGTGAGTGGCATAAGTCAATGGATAAGTATATGAAAATTAAGTTGGAAAAGGAGAATAAATTGAACAATGTATTGTACTTCAGGTTACTAATGCAGTGCTTAAGTTAATTGAGCGAGAACGTAATGGAGAAACAATAAATACACGTTTGGTCAGTGGTGTAATTAATTGTTATGTAGAATTAGGTTTGGAAGAGGAAGACCCTGGTGCTAAAGGACAGAATCTTGTTGTTTACAAAGATTCTTTTGAAAATGTCTTCCTTGAAGATACAGAAAGGTTTTATACTCGAGAAAGTTCAGAGTTCCTTCGTCAAAATCCAGTCACAGAATATATGAAGAAGGTTTTGGAATAAAATTTTACCATTCTCTAATATTTTTCAAAGAAGCTATTGCTAAATATTATTCTATTGCAGGCAGAACAAAGGTTATTGGAAGAACAAAAACGAGTTCAAGTATACTTGCATCAAACAACCCATGAGAGATTAGCAAAAACATGCGAGAGAGTCTTAATTGAAAAACATTTAGATATTTTTCATTCTGAATTTCAAAATCTATTGGATGCTGACAAAAACACAGACTTAGGTCGGATGTATCAATTAGTCGCAAGAATACCAAATGGTCTAGGTGAATTACGAAATCTTCTAGAGGGTCATATAGCTAATCAAGGACTTGCAGCTATTGATAAGTGTGGTGACTCTGCAGCTAATGTATGTTTATTATTAAATTATAACAGTTGTGGCTTACATTAACAATGCATAATTCTTTCTATGTAGGATCCAAAGGTTTATGTAAACACAATTTTGGAGGTTCATAAAAAATACAATGCTTTAGTACTTGTTGCATTTAATAATGACAGTGGTTTTGTGGCAGCTCTTGATAAGGCTTGTGGAAGATTCATTAATAGTAATTCTGTAACTAGAGCAGCAAATAGCAGCAGTAAATCACCTGAGTTATTAGCAAAATATTGTGATCTGCTGTTAAAAAAAAGTAGTAAAAATCCCGAAGAAGCCGAACTTGAAGACACACTGAACCAAGTTGTAAGTAAAAATCAAAAGGCCAAGATATAAAAAGAACAAAATTTTATTTCATATTAATATTATTTCTGTTTAATTGTAGATGGTGGTATTTAAATATATCGAAGACAAGGATGTGTTCCAAAAGTTTTACAGTAAAATGCTAGCAAAACGATTGGTACAACATATGTCTGCCAGTGATGATGCAGAAGCTTCTATGATTTCTAAATTGAAACAAGCTTGTGGTTTTGAGTATACTTCAAAACTACAAAGAATGTTTCAGGTACTGTATTATACTATAAAGCTTTTTATACTTAATTTGTATTAATTTGTATTAAATACATTTTATACATTTTATCAGATGTTTTACTTCTACAGGCGACTATTTCCTTATTGCCTATTAATATCTGTCAAAATTATATAAAAGTGCTGTCTTCTGGCTCTTGGCCATTTCAACAATCTTTTACTTTTTCACTGCCAACAGAGGTAAATTTTATTGATTTAATCCGTTTTAAATTCGTAAATTGTAGAATTATAATATAACAGTGATTTGTGCATTACAGCTAGAGAGATCTGTACATAGGTTTACCACTTTCTATAGCTCACAACATAGTGGGAGAAAGTTGAATTGGTTATACAATATGTCTAAAGGAGAATTACATACAAATTGTTTTAAAAACAGGTAACAACATATTTAACAAGTAAATCTGAAAAGCATTAAGCCTGAAAATATTCTATATTATTCACAAATGAAATTTCATAATTTTATTTTATCACAGATACACGTTGCAAGCATCGACATTTCAAATGGCTGTACTATTGCAATATAATGGATCCACAGTGTGGACAATACAACAGTTGCATGATGCTACACAAATAAAAATGGACTTTTTGCTTCAGGTAATATAATAAAACCAAAAATAGTAAAATGTAAAATAGATGCTGGAAGATATTTTTAATCTCACAGGTTATTCAAATACTCTTGAAAGCTAAACTGTTAACAGCAGCTGCAGACGACGAAGCTGAGTTGACACCATTGTCAACAGTGGAGCTTTTTGCAGGATATAAAAAGTATGTTTATCTCATGTCACATCTGTTTTGCCAGATATTATATTGGTATATTACTTTTACGACAGTAAGAAGCTGAGGGTAAATATTAATATACCAATGAAAACGGAATTGAAGATTGAACAGGAAACGACACAGAAAAATATAGAGGAGGATAGAAAACTTTTAATTCAGGCAGCAATTGTTAGAATTATGAAAATGAGGAAAGTATTGAAACATCAGCAACTGGTAGCCGAAGTATTGAATCAATTAAGCTCCAGGTTCAAACCAAGAGTACACGTTATTAAGGTAAGTATGAACGACAATTTTTCGTTTAAATCTATTATATTTTCGAGACCATTTTACAGTTTGCAAAATATGCAAGTTAATCGCGTACATTTTTTTCTGTATTAATTTATCATGACATGATACCGATGAAATGAAATATTAGAAGAACTAAATTTAACTAAATTTAAATAAACAGTATTCATACTTAATATAAGATAATTCTGCTCTTTCAGAAATGTATAGATATTTTAATTGAGAAAGAATATCTGGAGCGCACAGAGGGTCAGAAGGACACATATAGCTACCTGGCATGATCAAGTTGATCTAGGACAACGATACAGCAGCAATCATATACGCAAACGAAAGATGACTGTCCAATGTCATTGCTAGATATTGTCACAATATTTATTGAAGTCTCGTATTTTGAATCTCATGCATTCTCCTTGTACATGGATGCCCTTGTACCATGTTGTCCCTCTGGTCGCATTTAGAGTCTGGTTTTTATAATATGTTAATAAAATCATTTCATAGTCAATGCTGTTAGGTGTGTTACTGTCTGTGCCGCCTTTGACGTAAATTGAAGTATCACTGGTTTTTGATACGATACCGTATTATGAAACGAAAAATGCACGAATCTAAGTTTTTAATTCACAGCCTTATGAGGAACAGTGAAAGCTATGTTTTTAAAATCATGAACTCTTTAAGAAGGTAGAAGAATTTAGAGCTAAGCGCGGTGAGATTGAAATGAGTAAAGCGCTCTGTGAATAAAATACTATTTAAAAAAGGATTAAGATACATTATAAGATACATTTTAACCAGCAAGGATGAAAAGCTGGGCATGCATCTTTTCTTCCTTTTACTTATATTTTTTCCTCCTAAATGGTATAAAACGTATTGTTTGTGTATAACTTTGATGAGCTTGTAAAGTAAGAAAGAAATGTAATTTCATCAATTATTTGTATTATAACATAATACGAAACATGAGAGTTTAAACACATAGATAGCAATGCATTTTAATGCAGTACTCGTGAAGTTTGATTAATAATCACGTGTATAACGGAAAAATTTTATACCAGTGAATAAAAAGAACTGCTCTTATATTATAAAGGTCAAGTTATTTTTTCGTAAATTATTTAAGTATTTCATTCAAATTCATTTTTAGAGGTTAAAATAAATGTAATGTTTAAAGTGCAATATAAAACAGTGCGAAAAACTATGGTATAGTATGGTTTTTAATATAAACTTGAGCAGTGACTTAAATCTGAAAATTATTAATGAACTTTAATTAATGCCTTTAATTTTAATAACTAATTTTAGTAAGAATAGTAAATTTCAGTGTATACATATATGTGAGGCTAAGTCATAAAATGCAGCGTGTAAAAGGACTATAAGATATTTAATTTGAACGTTATTGTAATTAAAAGCGGAAAAAAGAGAGGGGGGTGGGGAGCATCAGAAGAATAGAGGGAACTATTATACTACTATTAAAATA